GCCTCAGAGCCAGCCAAGTATGGACTGAAACCTCCACAAACTGTAAGCTAAATAAACCTTTCCTTCCTTCATTTTGGGCGTTGGATATTTTGTCTCAGCAACAAGAGAAAAGTAACCAAGACATAGGGATTAACAGTGGTTGCTATATTACATGTTGTTATCTTCAATGAAGTTGCTCAGACTAACAGATGTAAGAAGAGAAGATTGATTGAACCATTAAAGGGAATAAGAGAGTAGTAATTTACAAGAATGTATTAGAAACAATACATAGTTTCATTAGACAGGATTGTAGGAATTCACCAATGGTTATTATACTGCAAACTGTTATCTTCACATAAGTTGCTCAGATTACCAGATATAAGCACGTAAAATTTCTCAAAATATAAAAACAATTTTAAACATTAACTGTTCCCCTCAATAACCACCAGACTACAGCAGTACAGTTATGACACCTATCTATCTATCTATCTATCTATCTATCTATCTATCTATCTATCTATCTGCCTTAGTACTTTCTTTTTCTTCTTTCCCTCATCCCGGTTCCTTCCTTTGAGCAAATTCTTTCCCTTTCATATTATATATTGTACATTTTGGGTTTTATTTACTCTTTCATGTTCTTACACCAGGGAGACAATATGATATTTACACATGTGGCTTCAGTTTATTTCACTTATGAGTATGGTCTCTAGTTGCATCCATTTACCTATAAAAGCCTTGAGTTTATCTTTTTTATAGCTGAGTAATACCCCATTGTATAAAAATACCACATCTTTTTTATCCATTTCTCAGTTGATGGGCATTTGGGTTGTATCCAAGATTAAGCTATGACAAACTGTGCTGCTATAAACATGGGTGCACATATATCCCTGTGGTATGACGTTTTTAATTCTTCTGAAAAAATACCCAGAAGGGGAATAGCTGGGTTAAGTGGGACTTCTAAACCTAGTTTTGTGAAGAATCTCCAAACTGATTTCCACAGTGGTTTCACCAATCTACACTTCCACCAGCAGTGGAGAAGTGTTCCTTTTTTCTCACAGCCTCTCCAGCATTTGTCATTGGTTGATTTCTTGATGATAGCCATTCTTTGTGGGGTGAGATGGAATCTCAGTGTTGTTTTAATTTGCACTTCTCAAATGACTAACGATGTTCAACATTTTTTCATAGATTTATTCACCATTAGTATTTCTTCATCTGAGAAATGCATATTCATCTCAGATGCCCATTCATGGATCGAGTCTTTGAATTTTGGGGGCCTGACTTTTTTTAATTCTTTATATGTTCTAGATAGAAGCCCTTTGTCTGAGGGATAGCTGGAAAAATTTTTTTCCCAATTTGTGGGTTTTCTTTGCACCCTGTAGGTGATTTCTTTTGATGTGCAAAAACTTTTCAATAAAATTAGATTGCAATTGTTGATTCTTTGAAGTATTTCCCGTGCAGTTTGGTTTTTGTTCATGAACTCTCTGCCTACCCCTATGGTTTTGAGATTTGTTTTCTTTTTTGTTAGCTTGTTTCTTGCAGTCCTGGGGCTTGGCAGCTAGGATTATAAGCATGAATCACCACATCAGACTAACGTGGGCATTTTAAATAAAGTAAACCAAGCAATCTTAAAGGATTCATCCAGAAACTGGACATGAATGTATTTAAACAAAGAATTTTACACATTCTTGGGTTTTGCTTGCTTTGACATTAAGCCCTGGGATTACAGAAAGTAACAATAATGTACAATGGCAGGGTCTCCCCACCTATCTTCTACACTTCTATTACCTGTCACAAGTCATGCTCACACTAGGCCA